CTGGTCTATGTACAGGTTCCTCATGAGTACAATTAAGTGTTCTGGAATTCCCATTCTTCTCAATTTGTTATGATCCACAAAATTGAATGCTTTTGCATAGTCAATAAAACACAAGTAAACATCTTTCTAGTATTCTTTGCTTTCAACCAAGATCCATCTGCCATCAGCAATGATATCCCTCATTCCACGTCCTCTTCTGAATCCAGCTTGCATTTCTGGAAGCTCTCTGTCAATATACTGCTGCAACCATTTTTGAATTATCTTGAGTAAGATTTTACTTGCATGTGACATTAATGATATTGTTTGATAATTTCCACATTGTGTGGAATCACCTTTCTTTGGAATGGATACAAATATGTATGTCTTCCAGTCAGTTGGCCAGGTAGCTGTCTTCCAAATCTCTTGGCATAGCCAAGTGAGTGCCTCCAGCGCAGTATCCATTTGTTGAAACATCTCAGTGGGTATTCCATCAATTCCTGGAGCCTTGTTTTTCACCAATTCCTTCAGTGCAGCTTCAACTTCTTTCTTCAATAGCATTGGTTCTTCATCACATGCCACCTCCTGAAATGGATGATCATCTACCAATTTTTTTTGGTACAGTGACTCTGTGTATTCCATCCACCTCCTTTTGATGTTTCCTGCATCATTCAACATATTGCCCATGGAGTTTTTCAATATTGCAATTTGAGGCTTAATTTTTTTCCTCAGTTCTTTCAGCTTGAGAAATGCTGAGAATGTTCTTCCCTTTTGGTTTTCTAACGCCAGGTCTTTGCACATTTCATTATAATAACTGATTTTGCCTTCTTGAACTGCCATTTGAAATCTTCTGTTCAGTTCTTTTATCTTGTCAATTCTTCCATTTGCTTTAGCTACTCTCTGCTCAAGGGCAAGTTTCAGAGTCTCTTCTGACATCCATTGCGGTGAGGTTGAATCACCAACTTCTGGTTAGCAGTCAAATGCCTTAGACACCACAGAGCTCCTTAGGATAGGATATTAACCAATGTTAATTAGCAAACGCATTTTAGCCTTCATGATTGTGCATGTATATGTATGTATGTATGTGTATACATAGTCTTCAGATTCTCTTTGAATTGGTTTTAACATCTTAAATGAGTTAACTAAGGAGGTCAAAATCTATGACATATGTTCATTTTACATTTGTATAGAAATCATGTTTTCAACTTTTAAAAAAAAATTATGCTTTGTCAGGGGCATGGACTTTATCCTCAGACAAAACGCATGCTTTGGCAAGGTCCTTTGGTTTCCAGTATTTGGGTGGGAGCTGGGGGAGGACTGCTGTGGATGCCAAGGGAGACATCATCCAGAGGAAGTGCAGAGGGACATATAACCGACCATCACGGGCGCCCAGCTGCCTTCTCCTTCTTTCTTGCCCTCACTTCCTGTGCTCAGCCACATTTCTGCTCTAGAAAGGACACACTAACTGCATTTTCTGCACTAACCTTCATCTCCTCATTGGCTGTTCTCTGCCTGGGACACTCTTCCCTCAGATCATTTGGCTCCCTCTTACCCGCCAGGTTCCCCCTTCAAGTCATCACTTTTTCAAGGACTCCCCTGCGTCCATCTTCGGTAGCCCCAGGCACTGTGGAGTTCTGCTAACATTCAGTGCTTGGTCTGGGTGCTAGTTTCATGGGTGTGTTCAGTTAGTTCCAGTGCATCCAGTTGTGCACTTAGGATTTATGTACTGCTACTTTAATAAAAATGAAGAAATAAAAATAGAGTAGTCCTATCTCGGTATTCTCTGAATAGCCCTATTACTCCCAGATATGTTCTTATGTCTTATGTTTGAGTGTTCATTACACACACCTACTCCCACTAGAATGTGGACTCCATGACAGCAGGGACACATTTGTCACTTTCACTGCTGTGTCACCAGCATCCAGAGTAGGGCATGGCACACAGTAGGCACTTAGTGTTTGGGTAATGGGTGGATAAGGCCTGCCTGGCTGTCTGCACAGGGTCTAGTGATGCCTGGGTGTGAGGGAGGTGGTCTCACAGATCTCTGGGATCGGGGGAGAAGGGCAGCAGGGGTGCCTAACTCCAGGGTCTCACCTTCTTCTGCATCTTCTCCAGCAGCTTGCTCTTGGCCCTCACTTCCTCCTGGATGGAGTCATAGACGTTAAGCAGCATCCAATCCCCACCATCCTCCTCGGAGTTCTGCAGGGCTGCCACCAGCTGCTTTTTGCGCTCGTCAGCATACCGCTTCCGCCGCTTGTGCTTCTCCTTTAGGTCCTTATTCTTGGCCTGCTCCCCGCCCACCACCTGCTGCTCCAACAGTTGCAAGCTGCCAGCACAGAGGAGAAAGCAATCATGGCGATACCTGTTCTTCACTGAGTGCCTGCTGCCCAGCAGGCTCAGGGTTAAGCACTGTCTCACTGAATCCGGCCAACAAGCCCACTTCCCAGAGAAGTAAACTGAGGCTCAGTGAAGTGAAGCTGCTTGCGTAGGGTCAGAACCAGAACTGCTGGCCTCGCAGCCTCTCCGTCATCCCCACCACAGTGGTGCTTCTAACAACAGGGTGAGATTCCTGTGGTCCCAGCAAAGCTAACTCTCTTCCTCTACAAATGCTGATGGGTACTGGTCCCTGCAGCAGAGCAGGGTCATGCTCTTGTTTTCTCAGGCAACATGTATGACTGGGGTGATTCTAGGCCACGTGCTCTGCAGGGCGGATTTTCCTGGGCTGGGAGGAGGCTAAGCGCTGGCCACGGCTGATTTGTCACAGAGCTGGCGCTTCCATCCTTCTCATTTACAGAAGGAGCACCAAGGCTCAGCAAAGCTAAGTGGCTTCCACAAAACCACACAGCAAGTCAGGAAAGGCTAGCTCCCCAGGCACCCCTGGGACTGTGTTAGATGGTGTGTCCTTAGGGTGGGCCAAGGGACTGGGAGCTTGGTTGGAACCTGAAGATTTGCACCAACCTACTCCAAAATTCCTGAAACTTGAACCTGGGAAAGCTGGTGGGCAAGCGGATAACAGTCTCTCCACGTCTGCCGGGTGCCACTGCATCGGGAGTGCACAACCAAAATCAGGTGGCTAGCGGCAGCCTGTGCAGCTTCCAGGGAGAACCCACCCCATCTGACTATACCATTCTGCCCCGCCCCCGCACTTATAGAGATGAAACGGGGGGCTGTGAGGGTCCCTCAGTCACGTCAGGAGGGGCAGCTGGGTGAGGCCCAACAGGGGCTGGGAGAACCCATCTGCACCCCCACTCAGAGCCTGGCATGGTGCTACTACTAGCCTTGCTTGCAGGTCCCACTGCCCCAGGCCTGGTGCTTACCGGGCGAGCACCTGCTGCTGATCTATGGCAGGTGGCGCTGCCACGTCCACGTCCTTGCTCTCCTGCCTCGTGTCTCCCAGAGCCAGCTGGGGCTGCGCTGGGGCCACCAAGGCCACCTGGACCTCAGCTTCGACCTCCTCCACACCAGGATCTGCTGCTGGCACCACCTCCTTGGTCACTTCCAGGGCTAGATCAGCCTCCTGAGCAGGGAGAAATCACAATGGGGGTGGGATGGGGCAGGCAGGGCCCTGGAGACGAGCTCCCAGAGGCCTCAGCCCAAAGGGGACGTCTCAGCCCCTCCACCTCCAGGCACAGACCACCTCTGGCTCAGAGACACCCGGTTATACAACATGTCCCATGAACTTCTTACTGTTTCCATTTCTACCAACAACCCCCAAATCAGCCTCTCAGCTTCCCTTGCCCACTCCAATCCAGTTTGCACATAGCAACCAGAGCCATTTTCTTAAACTAGAAATGGACTGCATCCCTTCCCTGATTGGAGGAGCTGTTTCTGGCTTCCCATCACATTTGTAGTAAAACCCAGCTTCTCTTTCAGCCCATGTGCCCTCCAGGCACCGGCCTCTGCTTTGCTCTAGAGCCTCATCCTGGTCACTCACCCTGTCTACCTGCAGCCGCTCTGGCCTCTTCCTGTTGCTGAGAAAGTTGAGATCTTTCCAGCCACAGGACTTCTGCACTTGCTGTCCCCTCTGCCTGGTGCCCTCCCCTGGGCTCCTCCTCATTGCGTGGGTCACACTATGTCACTCTCTCAGCCAGGGGTTCCTGGGCCCCTCCACCTACCATCTACTGAGAGCCTGCAATGGGCACAAACTCCACTGCCTGCCCAGTGGTCAAGTCCGGATGCTAGCAGGCTATTGTCTTTATCCACATGGCTGGGTAACATAAGGCCCTTTCTCCCACTCCCATGTGCTGAACTGTTGTGCTTTCTTGAGAAAAAAGTGGGGTATATGAGCAAGGGTCCCCACACAACCTACCCCCTGACCTGCAGTCCTCCTCTGTCAGCATACCTCCTTCAGACCAAGGGGTCTGAGGCTGAAGGAAGTTTGGAAAGCACTGTCTCTCATGAGGGCCTCTGAGAGCAACATCAGGGATCACCGGAAAGGCCATTACTCTGACCTGTGCATTGCTTTGCCATGGCCATCTGTGACAAGTCTAGGAACAGGGTGTTGTCCCTGTTTTGTAGCTGAGGATGCCAAGGTCCAGAGGACAAGGAGACAGGAACCTATAATTCCTCCCACCATAGAGGGCCACCAGGGAGGCACCCCTAATCCTTGGCTTCAGAACTGGGCTCACCGGGCTGCCGCAGATCTGTCAGGGAAGGGTGTTTGAGGGAGAATGGGGTGGGGGGCAGGGAGAGGGTTGGTTTAAGCCAGAGTCATGCTGGACTCCCATGCTTCTAACTGCCTCTACTGAGAGCCTGCAATGGGCACAAACTCCACTGCCTGCCCAGTGGTCAAGTCTGGATGCTGGCAGGCTATTGTCTTTCTCCACATGAGTGGGTAACATAAAGCCCTTTCTCCCACTCCCATGTGCTGAACTGTTGTGCTTTCTTGAGAAAAAAAGGTGCTCTCCTCCCGTTTGTCTCTGCTGAGAGGGGATGTACATCAAGGAACGAGGAGGTGAGGGAAGAGAACAGGGGAGAGAAGAAATGAGGGAGAGAGAGGAGACAGGGTATGTTCTGAGCACCTGCCATGTGTCAGGAGCGTTACCCACAATGTCTCAGGTGAGGTATGTAGCAACATCACTATTTTATAGATTTAAAAACAGATGCCCAGAGAGATAACTGCCCGAGGTCCTTACACAACTAAGTAAGTAGTAGAGCTGAGATTTGAACCCAGGTCTGCCTGACTCAAAGGCTTGTGCTCTTATACACACACACACACACACACACAGAGGAAAGGAAAGCAGACAGCAGACAAAGGAAAAGAGAGACAATTTTTAGGGGGGAAAAAAAAGGATTGAGAAGGGAGCAGACAATGGACAAAGGGGCAGGATGAGGCAGGCAACAGCCAGGGCTCCCTTAGGGCTCGTGGAAAGTAGCTGCATTTGCACAGGCCCCCAGCCCAGCTCTCCACTCTGAGCCTGCAGGTGCATGAGGGGAGGGCCAAGGCCCTCTGGGCTCTGCAGGTCTGGATGCTCTGCATAACCAGGCCACTCAGCCAACTCCCCAGACAGGTGTCTCTCAGTCAGCAGGGCAGGTGCCCACCTGGCAGAACCTCCTATCTCGATCTCAACTCTGCTACTGACTCACTGAGAATTAGCCAGAGATTCCCTTTCCCAGACCCCTGAATGCAAGTGCCTCAAGCCGGCCACCAGAGCCAGCATGGTGGATGGAGGTAGCACATCTGGTGCCGGAGCAGCAGGGGGTAAAGCTCTGTGCTGGCCCAGAGACTCTATGCCCCAGCCCCAGCCTAGCTCAGCATGATGTCATCTACCTGCTCGGGGACCTTGGGTATGTCCTCCTGGGGTACATCTGCCCTGGCCACAGTGGAGGAGAGCCTGGCCAGCTTGGCTTCCAGCTCAGCAAATGGGTCCTGCAGGCCTGGCAGCAGCTCCAGGGGCGTCAGTTCTGGTTCCTCTTCCTGGGGGTAGCACACGTCTTCTGGCAGAGGCCTGGTGGCTGCATGGCTGAGACACTCTTCTGAGAAGTACTTGCTCTTGGACTCCTCCTCGGGCATGGAGAATTCCAGGCTGGAGGGCTCATCGGGCCCAGGGAAGGCCTCGGACACGGACACTTCCTCGAGCGTGGATGACTCATCAGATGTGAGCGAAATCTCAGACTTGGAGCTCTGCAGCTTGGGTGGCTCATCCAGCTGGGAAGAACTCGCAGACTGGGAGACCTCTGCTTGGGGCTGAGGACCGGGCACGGACATGGGCTCCGGTTGAAAGCCTGCCTCGCACTGGAAAGCAGGTGAGTACTCGCACCTGTTGGCAAACTCAGCCCTGGACATGACCTCGGCTTTGTAGAGTACTTCCGCCTTCAGGATAGCCTCTGAAAGTGGAGAATTTTCTTAGCTTTTTAAAGGGTTAGAATGAAGGGACCATTCCTCTGGAATCTGGCCCCAAGCCCACTGTCCGCAAGAGGCCAGATGAAGAATAAAAGGCTCTCAGCACCACCAAGTCTGGGTACAACTAGGACATTCCCATTCTCCTCTCTCCCATCAGAATTCAGAACTCCCTCTTTCCACCTCTTCCAGGAAGCCTACCATAACCCCTCCATTCTCTGAGATCACCAGCCATTAGGTGCTCATCTCTGACCATGCTGCTCTTGGGACTGCTCTTAATACATGAGCTGACTGCCCTGTGGGTCACGTCACCTTTCCAGGCTGTGAGCTCCTGGGGGGTAGACTTCATACCCAAGCCCCTTGGTGCCCCCATCAGGGTACCCAGCTCAAGGTTCTTGCCCATGGGATATACTAGATCCACAGTAGTTAAATGAATGCTGTGGGTGAAGGTTAGAGTTACAGACCCAATAGAAATCACTCAAAAGCCAAATAGTCAAAGTGAACTGGAGTGGACACTCTACAAGACAAAAAAAGCTGGAACGCACCCCTTCCCTCATCCTTGGAGAAAGTGGCATCCTCCTCCAAGCTTGGATAGGACCACGATCGCCTAAGCCCTTCCCTAGTGCTCCTGCCTCTTTTGGGGGGGGGGGGCTCTGTTGCTGTAGCTGCCGTCAAGTTGGCCCCAACTAATGAGGGCCCATGCACAGCAGGACTAAACTGCTGTGATCATAGCGTTTTCATGGGTTGATTTTCAGAAGGAGATCACCAGGCCTCCTTCCTGGTTCATCCTAGTCTGGAATCACTGCTGAATCCTGTTCAGCATCCTAGCAACACTCCAGCCTCCACTGAAAGAGGGTGGTGGCCGTGCACAAGATGCACTGGCTAGAAACCAAGCCTGATCTCCCACATAAACCAAAAAACCAAACTCACTGCCATCGAGTCGTTTCCCACTCAGCGAGCTCCACTGGGTTTCTGAGGCTGTAAATCTTTACAGAAGTAAATCACCCAGTCTTCCTTCCATGGAGAAGTTCGTGGGTTTGAACCACTGACCTTCTGGTTAGCAGTCTAGTCCCTTATCCACTACACCACCAGAGCTCTTTGGATCTCCCACATAGAAGGTGAGAATTTTGAACCAGCACTGCCCCTCACGGGGTTTTACACTTCCTCTGACATCCCATCTATTTCCTTATTGCTGTGTCTGGCACTCTACTAAGAGAGTCCCAATGTTCCCTTCCCTGAAATACAACATCTGCTCCCTCACCAGTGGCCTGAACTGCCCAAAGCCTTGGTTCCACACCTGTAATATGAGGATTACGGGAGCCCTCACCTCACTGGATTGTGGGGAGGGCACAAGGAGGGACTGCAGGTAAAGCACCTGACATTGCACCTGGCACCAGTGATGCCCAATAAATGGTAGTGATGATGTTACCAATATCATCACCATCATCACAAGACTGGATTTTAGAATATGGTGGTGAGTACAAGGAAATCTGGGCTGCCTGGCAGCATGGGTGTTTGAATGATATCGGCATGATGGAACATTCTAGAATGTCAAAAAGAAGACAAAAACTTCCAGAAAGGTAAACGTTCTCGCTCACGACTGAACGCTTACTATGAGACAGGCTCACAAAGACTACAGAAAATGCAGGAACTCGGGGCAGGGTCTCACCTATAAAACATGGGTGGTATTTCACAACTCTAAGTGATTCTTGAGCTGGGGCCCAGTCTGTGGCCAAACATCAGGATGTAGTCTTGTGAGTGAGAGCACTGGCTCTGGGGTCAGACTCCCTTGGTTCAAATCCTGGTTCCATTTTACTGATGTGTGTGACCTTGAATGAGTTATTTACCCTCCCTATGCTTCCATTTCCTTGTCTATGGAATGGGGGTAATTGTAGTACTAAAGAAGACCTGGTGGTGCAATGGTTAATCACTGGGCTGGTAACTGAAAGGTTGGGAGTTCAAATCCACCCAGCAGCTCCACAGGAGAAAAGACCCAGTGATCTGGTCCCATAAAGAACATAGCCTAGATCTCGGGACCATGGTCTCAGGGGGACATCAAGCTCAATTGACATAACATACTATACAAAACATTGTTCCACCTCCTACTTTGGCAAGTAGCGACTGGGATCTTAAAAGCTTGCAAACGGCCATCTAGATGCAACGATGGGTCTCTCTCCTCGTCCAGAGCAAAGAAGAATGAAGAAAACCAAAGACACATGGAAACAATTAGTCCAAGGGACTGGTAGACTATGCAATCCTCAGCCTATAAGGCCAAGAGACCAGAAGAACTAGATGGTGCCCAGTCACCACTGTTAAACACTCGGAGGGGGACCTGTGTAGGAGATCCTGGATAGAGTGGGAGAACAATGTGGAACAAAACTCAAAATTATATATATATAAAAGATGAGGTTTGCTGGTCTGATAGAGCCTGGTGAAACCCCTGAGACTATGGCCCCTAGCTGCCCTTCAAGTCTGGAATTGAACTCACTCCTATGGCTTCCAGCCAAATAAAAGACAGACATATGGGCTGAACATTTACATCATGTAGATACACTCCTTGGAGGGATCAATCATGGGAGAACAGAAGGCTGTGTGTGCACAGGGAGACAGTTGTGGGGGGGGGGCGCAGAAGTGCATGGGAGGGAAGGACACAGGGGAGAGGTAACTGTGGGGAGTAAGTGGTGGGGAGCTGTTTCATTGTGGGGAATTGAGTCAATGTCATGAGACAAAATGTGTATGAAATGCTGTGTGGAAAATGAATTTGCTCTGTAAACTTTCACCCAAATCACAATAAAAATTTAAATAAACAAAAGATTATAGCCTAGAAAACCCTGTGGAGCAGTTCCACTCTGTCACATGGGATCACCATGAGTCAGAATTGACTCGATGACCCGTGACAACAATTGTGAGCATTGAGCAGAACTCAGCCTAGTACACACCCAAAGTGCTCTGTGAACAGCTGTTATTAAAAGGAGGTGGAGAGCAAGATGGCCCACCTGCTTCCTTCCGCAGGTTCTCCTCCAGCGTGGACAGCTTCACATCGTAAGAGTTGCGCATGGCAGTGATGTCCTCCTCCAGCCGGACCCGGGACTCCTGCTCTGCCTCGTAGTCGGCCTTCAGCCGGGCCAGACGCTCCTCGTACTCCTGGGCGAGGGGATGCACGGGGGGACAGAATGTCGTCCTCAGGCCAAAACACAACTTTCACTGTTCATTTCATAGCCATTCAAACAATACATATTAACTGTACAAAAATTGGCAAATAGAAATAAGCCAAAAGAATAAAATTAACATCACCCACACAATACTGGGATAACTACTTGTGGGGAAGACTTTTCTGAACTTTTCTCTGTGCATTTTTTAATGGGCTAATAATACATGTGGAGTCTCCTAGTGGTGCAAATGGTTAATGTGCCTGGCTGCTAACCAAAAGGTCAGAGGTTCAAGTCCACCCAGAGGCACCTGGGAAGAAAGGCCTGGCTGTCTGCTTCCAAAAAGTCAGCCATCGAAACCCTACAAAGCACAGTACTACTCTGACTCAGGTGGGTGACCAGGAGTCAGAATCAACCCAATGGCACCCAGTTAATATGACACATATTTGTTTGCAGCCCATTTTCTCCACACAACAATACATGACAAACACCTTTCTGCAAATAAATTCTTACCAAATGGCTCTCAATCCATCAAGGACATAATAGTTTCATTAATCAGCTTTTCTCTCCATCTTTGCTATCACCACCAGCTCTTGTCTGAACGGCCTCCTCCCATCTGGACCCCTGCCTCCCTTCTTGTCCTGCCCACACACTTTTCTCTACACAGCAGCCACATGTCCGTTAGCTGTCTGTGCCCTGCTTAGGACCTGTCAGTGGCTTCCCACATTGACAGGATAAAATCTCAGCTGCCAGCCATGGCCTTGAGTCCTCAGACAACCCAGCCACGCCCACCCCTCTGACCTCACCTCAATTTTTGCTGACTTTGGACAGTACTGTCACCTGATCGCCTTCTTCCTAGCTCATATCAGAAGCTTCCATTACCTTCTGTCTTTACTGGATTACAGGTTTAGTGTCAGGCTTCCCACCAAGATGTGAACTCCTAGAGAAGAATGACCATCCTGTCTGGTGGCCTCAGTGCCTGGCACAGAATAGGGACTTGACAATTATCTACTGAATGCAGCAGGCAGCACTGGCAGGCTAAAGACTACACAAAGTATCCAGGCTCCGGGCGCATACTGTCAGGAGGCAGCAGTGCATTTATGAATGAATTGCAGGCATGCAGCTCTCTGTGGTTTGGAGCCCCAGCTGACAGACACCGCAGCTTTCCATCATTGTAGTAAGCCAGGAGGGGACAGGAGTTGGAGCAGGACAGCCCCATGGCAGGTGCCACCTCCCAGATGCCTCAGTCAGTGGGGAACCAGGCCAAGATTCTATGAGGACACAACATAACATAGGCTCTTCATGAGGGAAAGAATCAAACTCACTGCCGTCTAGTTGATTCTGACTCATAGCGACCCCATTGGGCTTCCAAGGCTGTAAATCTTTATGGAAGCAGACTGTCTCATCTTTCTTCCTCAGAGCAGCTGGTGGGTTTGAACTATCAACCTTATGGTTAGCAGCCAAATGCCTTAACCACTACATCACCAGAGGTCCTTGGGAAAGAGAGAAGAGGATACCAAACCAGCTGCTGTTGAGTTGACTCCAACTCATGGTGACCCCATGTGCATCAGAACTATGCTCCAGAGAGTTGCAATGGCTGATGGCTCCAGAAGTAGATCACCAGGTCTTTCTTCCAGGTTCCTCTAAGTGGACTTGAATCTCCAACTGTTCCATTAGCAGCCAAACACCATCAGAGCTTAAATGTATCTGTGCATTGTGCAACCCAGGTAGATACACTGGAGCCTCTTGGCAACGCCTGTAGTACTACTGGGGCAGGAGGTTAAATGACTTGCCCAGGACCACACGGCTCTAAATGACCTCACTGAGACTTCCAGCTTTTCACTGTCTCTCACTTTTGCTTCCTTCCTTACCCAACTGAGAATTCGGGTCCAGTACCACACTCATTCCTCAGCAGACACCCTGGACTCCTCACCCCAGCATCTGCCACTGTTTTCACCAAGACAGTCCTGAGCCCTGACAACCCAGGCCTCACCTCATCCACACCTGTACCCCAAGCAAAGCTGGCTGGAAACACACACACGCACACGAACGCACACATGCACACATATGCTCACGCAGCGACATCACAGACTGTTCTCACTTTAAATGTGAGACCCCAAATGCCACGCAGGTCTTTAGGTGGCTCCGCACACCTCCACAGCCCTTTCACTCTCCCTCTCTGCCAGCCTCCACTCCTCTCCACACTTCCGGTCTCATACCCCACAGGAAAAATTGAAGCAGTAAGATGTGAAGCCCCTCATCCTCCCCACCTCTTCCCGCCTACCTGCAGGTCAGCCCCAAAGCTCTGCAGTGGATGAACCAGCTGGGGCCAGCCCTCCCAACTCGAGGACTTTACTCTTCCAATCTTCCACCTCCTTCTTGTACCACTGATTCCTCCCTCTGTGCTAGATCGTTCCCTACAGTCTACCAAGCAGACACTCTGACTTCCAATATTAAAACAAACATACCAAAAATTAAAAAATTAAAAAAAGGCCTTCCCTTGGTCCCACATCTCCAGCCACAGCACTGGCACCAAGTGAGTTCTCAGAAAATGCTTGTTGATGACTAACTGGGGAAGGGGTGGCTAGAGTGCAAACCCAGACACTTGACTCCTGGTTGGTACTCATTACACAACCCAAGGATGAGAAGACAATCCATCATTCCAGCCTCTTATAATATGTGGATCCAACTTGATGGCAGTGAGTTGAGTTTTTTATGTAAGCAGGCAGAAAGAATGTCATTATACCCAATCTATAGATCAGGAAATAGGCGTAAACAACCTTCCCAAGGCCAGAGTCCATAAGAATTGGACTTGTAGAAACAAAAGATGGATTTAAAAAAAAAAACCAAACTCACTGCCGTCGAGTCAGATCCAACTCATAGGGAGCCCTCTTTGGGTTTCCGAGGCAGTATCACTACAAAAGTAGATTGCCCACTGGGAAGAGGTAACTATGGGGAGGAAGTGGGAGGGGAGCTGTTGCATTGTGGTAAACTATGGTCAATGTCTTGAGACAAAGTATATGTAAACTGCTGTATGGAAAGTGAATTTGCTCTGTAAATCTTCACCCAAATCACAATTAAAAATAAATAAATAAATAAAAAGTGGGGGGAGTAGACTGCCCAACCTTCCTTCCAAGGAGTGGCTGGTGGGTTTGAACCTGGTTAGCAGTCACATGCCTTAGGCACCACACCACCAGAGCTCCTCAAAAGCTGGATAGACCCTAGAAATCTACCATCCAAATCCCTCCAGTGCAGAAGGGAGGCTGAAGCTCAGACTGTCACACCTAGATTTGTAGCTAAACCAATTTCAAGCCCACTTCCCTTTCTACACAGAGGGGCCTCCTCCCCTTGTCCAGGGCTTTCTGGCTGACTCTGGAACAGGAAAGGAAGCACGGTTCCAGGCACGTAGTAGTGCTCAGTATGAACAAATGGCAGGGAGGAACGAAGGACAGACATTCTCAACAAAGCTTGTCTCACAGAAGAGACTCCAGAGTCAGTAAACAGAAACCTGGTGGTGGTGGCAACACTCGGATGTATTGTCCACTAGGCTGCCCCACAAGGAGGAGGCAGGCGACACCACATTCAGGACAGAAGGACCTTGCAACCTTGGCCAACGCTGAACTGCTAGCCTGGAACAGGGTCACTTCTCCCTGTGACCATTAGAGGGAGGCAGTGCCCGCCTTGCTGCATAGCCAGGGTGCCTGCCGACCCCAGTAGTGCATCCTTAGGAAGGAAACTTCCACCCCATGCCCTGACCAACCTGCCCTTCCCCTATTGTGGTCACCATGTGATTCCATTCCCACTCTGAACCCCAAAAGCATGCCTTCTCTGTTTAATAAATGGTGCTGGCAAAATTGGAGATCCATTTGCAGAAAAATGAAACAAGATGTGTACCTCACACCATACACAAAAACAAACTCCAGATGGATCAAAGACTTAAATATGAAACTTAAAAGTATAGAGTTCCTCAAGGCAAAACTAGGGGCAAATTTAGGGGCCCTAATATATGGCATAAATAGACTATCAAGTATAACCCAAAATACACAAACAGCAGAAGAGAAACCAGATGATTGGGACCTTCTAAAAATTAAATTTTTATGTGCTTCCAA